TTTTTAATTTTTTTTTTTTTTTTTTTTTTACTGTTATTATTCCATTTGCTCGGGACGCGGATCCCGGCGGGCCCCTGGTGCCCGTGCGTGCGCGCACCCGCGCGGCGGGGGGCCCGGCGGGGCCGGGGGGCGGTGGCTGCGGTCCGAGCGCCGCGGAGAGGCGCGGGCGGGAGTCCTTCCGTCCGTCATTCCGGCCCCGCGTAGGGCCCGGCGGGCCGCCCGAGGACGGTGTCTCTCCCCCTTCCCCTCGCTGGATGGAGCCCGGGGCTGCCGGTGATGTGGGGGCTGGCTGAGCGGCTTGAGCCCCCCGCCCGCCGGAGGCGAGCATGTCCAGTGAGCGGCTTAACAGGACAGCGGTGAAAGATGCGCGGTTAAAAGACCTGTTGTTGGAAAGAGGTACCCGCGTATCTGCAGGGGCAGGGATGCTGCGGGATGCGGTCCCGGGTCACCGGGCAGCCCGGCCTGCCCGGGGAGCGCCCGCCTGCGGAGCCGCGGGGCGCAGGGCAGGATGCGCCCGGGCTGGGGGGTTTCTCTGCAGGGGAGTGCTCGGGGTGACGGGCTCGTGTGGTTGCTGGTAGGGTTGTAAATTATTTTTCTCTTTTCATGCTTTTCTGAGAAGGTGCTTTCATTCAGCGTGTAGTTGCCTTTTCCGTGTTGGGCGTTTACCCTGAAACATTGTGGGTTTTTTTTTAATTATTTCCAGGGAGAATTTTTGTTAGAAATGTTGATTCTGGAGTGTAAAGAAACGGATATATGCGAGCGTAACAGACTTGGGGAGGTAAAACCATATAATTTCTCTTCCTGAACCCCCCAACCGCCCCCCTCCCCCCCCGGTCTCTTTTCCAAAAGGAAAAGTAGGCAGGAGGAGATGCCTGTCTGGAAGGCGGTGGCCCTTCGCGCCTGGCAGGTGTTGGGCAGCAGAGCAGGGGAGGCGGTGGGGGCCGGGGTGACCCAGTGCCTGTCAGCAGCCGCCAGGAACTATTTAAATGGCCTTGATCAGTGCCAGCAAATACAGACTGCTGCTGTACTTGTCTCTTTGCTTTTTCCTGTTAATAACCTAATGAGCAGCAAGAGGATCAGTCTAGAGAAAGAGATTAAAAGTTACATTTCTTTTCCCTGTACTTTCCAGTGAGGAAATTCTCCTGAGCCTCAGTAAGGTGTTTTGTTGCAGTTTACTGTTTGCAATGTAAAGCTGGACTTGGAAAATCTTTTGTGCTCATACCTTTGTGCTCTGTTTTTTATTTTCTTTATTATATGACCATGTTTTAGTCAAACACTTTCAAATTATTCCCTCCCAAGAGAAGTGCTTGGAGACCAAATAATTTATTTTTAATGGAGAGGTACTGTCCCTTGCCACTGAAATGCAGGGGCCTTGATAAATTTAGAAGACTCTGCCCTTGGCAGACAGAGAAGTAACATGTCATTCCAGTGATCTCTGCATTCTAGGAAAGCCTAAATCAACATTGCTTGTTTTGCATGTTGCCCTTTAGCAACAGTCTCTCAATTTCCAGTCTAAAGTATGACATGGACCCAAATAAAAGGTTTGGGTGAAGAAACCATTTAGTACTTCAGTGGCCACAGAATGTGAATTGCAGCAGTTGTCAACTGTGTAAAGTCTGTATTCTGCACTTCTGAGCCAAGAAAAACTGATTTTTACTTAAGTGTGGTTTTGGTGGGTTTCTTTTTTAATTAATTCTGTGCTTCCTGCTTTTTGATCTTTTGGTGCTGACATTGTTAACTTCCAGTTGCAGAAGAGAGGGGGAAAAGAAAGGTTGCTGCACTGCATATGGAATTGATAGCAAAAGCAGAGCACAAAACACTGACTAATCAAGTTCTTTGAAAACGTTAGTGGTCTTAATGATGAGTGGATGGTATTAACAGCAAAGAGAAAGTAAGTGATAGGTGTATTTTTACCCTTTACTCTTTCCTTAGCTTTAAGTAGACTTAGTTACTCCTACTGAGGAGATTGTGGACCCTCAGCACTTAGATGGTGGTGTGGCTGTGCCTGCTGGTAGCTTGTGGCAGACAGGTGGACCTTGACACCAGCCTCCACTAGACACCAGCACACTTGCAGGATCTAGGGTCTGAAGTTTTGTTCGCAAGAAATCTTAAAATTATGAAACAGCTTTGCATTTCCTTTAGTTCTACCGCAGGTTCATCTTGGATTTTATGTGTGAACGGCATTTTCCTACCTCAGCTTCATAGTCATATTGTGTCTGCCCAAATGTGCTGCTGTCACACTGAAGGCTGAGAGTCTCTACAAATTGGAGATCATAAGAGGGAAAGCTTGTTTTCTGATATTTGCTTTGTCTTTTCATCTTCATATGTCATTATCTCTCTTTTCATGTTAGCTTTTTAAAGCAGAAATTTAATATTGGTTCCCTGAAGTTCATGTTTTTGCATTCAAAAAGTAGTGCCCTTTTTGGAAAGTACTGAAACTGAGCAACTTGTGCTGCTTACTTGCTTTTTCTACCAGCCTAGCAACCAAAGACCTCCTCCCATTAACTGGAGTTGTCTTTCAAGATGAGAGCATTCGCTGTGAGCAATGCAGTTTCCATAGAAATATCAGCAACTCAGTAACTCCAAAGGGCAATTTTTCCCCTTGCGTTGCTCATCCTTGCTGCTCTAGTGTAACCAAAAGGGTGCAAGAGTGACTCATTTCTAAATATATTAATATTTGTAGTTATAGGCAGGGCTTCAGATGAGATGATGGGCTCTGACGGACTTCGTTGTAATTGTATCTTTTGCAACATCCAAGGTCCTGGTTTCATTTTTAACCATGGTGGAACATACCTTGTTTTAGAGTACCAGATCTCTTTTTAGATTTTTGCCTGAATGGGTAAGTCCTAGAAGAGTTAACTTTATGCTAGTTGGAGGGAAGTTAGTAATTGAAAAAGGCGTTGTGTGTAGATTCAGTAGGATAAAAGTTTTCCACTCTAGTTAGATAGCTTTCATGCTATTTAGTTAGATAGCTTTCATGCTGTTTAGTTGATAAAAAACTAAGGGTGGTGTACTAGATACAACATCCACTCTACATGACCTCTACTCTGAAGCTTATGGAACCCTCTGGACTCTATTGGCAATACAGGTGGCTGTTAAAATAGAGGGGGATTTGTGTGTGTGTGTGGTTTGTTGATTTGTTTCCCCCACACAGTGAAAACATGTTATCCAAAAGGCTTGTCTGTGGCGTTTATGCTGAGGAGTTTATTGCCTGAGTAGGCTGCAGAGGAGGATCACCAAGAAGCTTCTTACTTTTGACCTGCAGCCAATCAATTTGCTCTGACAAAAATTAGGTAATTTTCATACGTCTTAGAACAGTTTTCTTGACCAAGCTTTGCAGAATGGACAGCAGTAGTACCATATGCCAGATCAATCTTGATGAAATAATGAGGTTTTTTTCAGATTATTGCTTTGATGGTTAATTTTGTCTGTTAATGACACATTTACCTCTCCTTTTTTTTTTTCTTTGTTTTAGCTGAACTGGAGTTTGTTCAAATCATCATTATAATCGTGGTTATAACTGTTATGGTGGTAGTGATCATCTGCTTGTTGAACCATTACAAACTCTCGACACGCTCCTTTATCAACCGACAGAGCCAAAGCAGAAGACAGGAAGAAACTTTGCAGACGGTGAGTATGAGCCCCTTGCACCAAATACGTTTTCCTTGTGCTGTATGGGCCTGCAGCAAAGCTTCCTGAGGAGCTCTGGTACAGGCAACTGTTGGAAAAACTTTTGATGTCACTTGTAATACTGCCTATAGTTAGGTCTCTTGCTGGGATTGTATTTGTCAGTAGAAAACAAAATCAAAACATAAATTTAAGGCATACTGTCTTTGATTATTTTTAGAGCCTGCTATGTTTTATGTAGCCTGTATTCATTTTGTATTGGAGGCTCAGATATGACATTCTGTTTGCTGCTGCTGTAATTTGAAAGGGGAGTGAAAGGGTAATGAGTGGAGATTACCTGGGTTACAAAGATTTGAAATACACCTTGTTGTGACTTTCCGTATATTTACTGATACCCTGGAGTTTTATTGCTGTTACTGTTTTGTGAAGCTGCAATAGCTGTTTGCTGGATCAAAAACACTGTCCCAGTAAGGGCAGGAAAATGTAGTGTTTGTTTCACTCAAACACATAAAAGAGACTAGAAAAAGGATCCCACCAAGGACCTGAAGTGTTTTAAGATGTGTTGTTACGGAGTCCAAGACTTAAGATGGAATCTCAGTCAAGACTTGTTAAGGCTGTATTTAGTCAACCCAACAGTAAATGGGCACCTAACTTGCCTTGTGAGCCTGGAGTTTGCTGAGTGGGATGCTCTGCTCCCTTGTGATGGTTAACCACAGAGTGTACCTGACCTTGGAACATCCCCCTGAAGCCAAAGCTGTGCAGTGTCCTGTGGTGTTGGAGGGAGGTCCTTTCTTCTGATATGCTTTTCAGTATCGCCAGAGTGGTGCCCTTGGCCTCTTAGCTGACGGCAGCAGGTAAGAGGCCATTTTGGAGGGTAGCCTTTTGATGTGTTGAATTCCTGGTAAGAGCATTGGGTTCACACCTTCATTTCACTGTCAAAAAAAAAGTCCTGATTGTAACTGAGAGATGTGGTCCAGTAATAATGGTTTACACCACTTCTAATTCCACAGTCTTGTCTTTTTATCCACCCCAGTCCTAAGTTTCCTCCCTCTTTGTGCTCCTTAGGGAGCTGCCAAGGTCATGGTGAGAGGCCTCAGGGAACTGCTCTGGCTGAAGGCTAATTGTTTTTTGTTTTTCTTTTTGGTTGGGGTTTTTTGTTTGTTTGGGGGTTTGGTTTTTTTGTGGTTTTTGTTTGTTTGTTTGTTTCAGTTTTTGGGGTTTGTTGTTTGTTTTTTGCTTTGTTTTTTTTTTTTTTTCCCTTACAGTTAGATTTCAGACAGGTCAGTGAGGGAAGTCTAGGCAGCGGAGGGAGCACTGACGGGAGGAGGCAGGGATGCCACAGCCAGGGCTGGACCTGAGAGACTGCTGCATCCCTGGCAGTCTTGACAATTGGCAGCTCTCTCCTGAAAGTCAGCTGTAAAGTGTGACAATGGAAGGTTCCCAAAGTCTTGCTTAGCACATCACCTGTGCCCTCTTGCTGGGGTGAATATCTCTTACCTTGGAGGCTGTGGAAGGGGGCTCCTAGGAAAGGAGCTGCCTCCTCAAGGAGAGGTTGCCTCATTCCTTAACACTTTGATAGTGTAGGAATGCTTAACTCTAATTTGGTTACAGATGAAACTGGAACTGTCATACCTTAACATTGTGGACTTCAGGGCTGGAAAAATTGCCTAGATTAATTTGAATGTTGCTTTGAAATGGACACCGTAATTCAAAAATCACACTTCTGTCTGAAAAATGTTGGCTATAATTGCTACAAATGCCTAAAATGAAATAGTTTCAGATAAGTGAAATGCATTTTCATCTTCACAAATCTTTTAAAACTGCAGTAAGCTGTCAAATGCATGAAGTAACCCATTATTTCCTTTGTATGGTTCATTAGTATTGTCTGTTATCAGAGCCAGTGGTGGGGTTTTTCTCTCTTGTGCACAAGGGAGAAAATATCACCTTCTTGTGAAGAAGAACATGCAGTTTGGCAGCAGGAACTTGGAAGGCACTCTAGTATCCAGAACTGCTTTTAAATAATTTTTAAAACATTGACTCAGTTTCAGTTTGACACCCTTATAAGTAATGATAATCATAGCCATGTGAGCACTTTGTGGGAATCGATGCTTGGATGGCAAGAAGTGGTTACTAATTCTTCTGAAAACCTTCTGGTATAGGTTTGTCATCACTATTACTCATCTGAATTTCTGATAAGCTGAAGCTGTTCTTACAAGAAGGCCATACTTGTAGGGGATGAGGCTTTAGAGGTCTTTGAGTTCAGATGTCAAAAACATTGAATTTTCCTTTGTCTTGGGTGTTAGAAGGAAATTCTGATAGAAACTGGCTGTGCAGTACAAACTTTTAAAAGTGGTGTGGTGCATGAGGGTCAGAAAACCTCTGTGATGAAGAGCTGAAAATGACCAGTCTGTTCTCATTGTCCATAGTGGAGAGAGTCACACAAGAATAGACAGTGTGAGCAGTAAGATGCAGGTTAGATTATACGCTTTTAAAATATATTTATTTTTTCATAAGGCAGGCCTTGTTCTGTGTGCATGTGCTATCCATAAGCAGATTCTCTTCCAAAGGAATATTTTTTTAAACAGTATATAGACTCTGAAAACTTAATTGATTAAAATTAAACTAAAAAATTAAATGTTTATTAACTGCTAATGTCTGAAGAAAATATTAGTCTGACTCAGGCCTTCTGTCAGTGGAGAAATAGTGAATGGAAATAGAGGAAATTCAGATGTATTTCTTGAAAATGGTAAAGCAAATTAATTGGCTCTTGGGTAGTTCCTGTGGTGAACTATGAATTGAACACCCTGTCATGTAACTGAGGTAGCAGAAGTGTATCAAGGTGTAGAATCCAGCCTTTCCTGTTTAGATGGGGCTTTTTTTTTTCTTTTTTTTTTTTTGTCCTTTTGTTGCCTTGAATTTTCCTTTTCCTCAAGCCTGTCCTATTTCTAGATAATCATGCCTTCCAACAGCTAAGTGGTGGCTGAATTGCACAGGTTTCTGGCTATATAAAGACTAACTGTTGAACAGGTATATCGCTTATTCTGGTTCATCTACAGAGTGTAGTGATCAGATAAATTAGCTACTGCCTTTATTGCCAGCCTCACACCTGTAAAACTCATGGGTCAGGCCTCAGAAATAATGAAATAAAAGGTATTTGTGGGTTTCTTTTTCTGATTGAACTTCCTTAATGTTTTAAAAGACCAAAACAAACATCCCCAAACAAAACAAACATGATTTAAAAAATATGGTAATGAGAATTTCAACTTCCAGGCCAAGTTGGAAATTAGAGTATTAAAAAGATGAAATATCACTGCAGTCACAAGTGTTAGTAACATTTGAAAGACAGAAAAGGGACCAATCATAGAAAAAAAGTTTCTCCTTGACAAGCACATGCTAAAAAGTCATTGTTGTGCACCTGTCCTGTCAATATGCTTTTCTGTTTAACCACCACTTCGTCTTTATCTTTTTCTTATTCTTTTTTTTTTTTTTAATTTTCATCCCCTATGGAGTCTCATCTTCTAGTCTTTTGTCTGGTCTTTTAGGTTTTTTTATTACCTTGGTTACTGTGCTGAGGCCTTTAACAGTTGACAGCCCAAGGGCAGGACAAACACTGCTCAGGAGTAGTGGATGCTTCTGCAGCAATGCTGCTGAGGATGCTGCCTGCCCTCTCCTAATGAGGCTATTAAACACTCCAGTCTTGTTTTAACATTAGCAGAAGTAAGAGTTTTGTGGTCATAACTGTGAGAGGTGGAATGATGCTGAGTGACAACCATGTTGATGTGAGTGGCAGCCTGAAGTGAGCCTGCAAGGTGCTAAATGGTGTCCATATCACAATGGATAAAATATTGAACAATTTCCTCCTGCTGGCTCATCCATGAGCATTTGGCTTCACAACTGGGAGCAAGCCAAGGTTTGCAGAACACCTGAGAGGGATAAGAAGGCTGCAGGGTGTGGAATATACCAGGAGCATGCTCAGGGCTGCTTTACTAGGACAACACAACTTCTTGTGAGGGAGCAACTGATGCTACTGGCAGTGCTGGGGGGTTTTGGGGCAGAGCCATGTGGTGGCCTTGGAAAGGCACATCCATGTGCAGGGTATGTGTGTCTGATATTCCGGGGGAGTTACATGTTGCAGCATTGCTGGCTGTGCCTTGCGAGGATTGACATTGTATTGGGAGGGCAGTGTTGCTGCTAACCAAAAGCATCCTGCTGGAATGTAGGTAGCCTCAGCTGAGCTGCTGCTGTGGCACTCTGCTGTTTGCTGGGACAAAAGATAAATCTTGCTTTCCTGATGATTAACTCTTAGTGTCATCACCAGTGTCACCAGGGGGACATTGATGGGAAAGAGATTAACTAAGTGACTTACAGGGAGGTACTTAATGAGCTTCTGATGTTCCTAAATTCATTCCTTCTCTCCATCCTGGTGGCTTCTGTCTTTGCGTCATCATCTTTTATAAAGTGGATGTTGAAGGAGTACTGAACAGGCCTACTCCTGGCAGCAAAGTCCCTGCATCGATCACATAAGACGCTCATCCTGGCCAGCCCCTGCCTCCCAGCACTAAGGGCAGCACTGCTGCTAGGGCTAGTCAGCTTGCATTAGAACCTGCATTGATAATGGTGGTCTGGAATGCCAAGCTCCAGGAGCACAGCTTAAGAAATACTTCCCCCTGTCCTGTATCAGCTATTTCAGAATAAAAGGGGAACATCAGGAGGGTGACAGAAAATACTCAATAATAATTGACAACTCAGGGATTTGTCAGTAATTTCAAATGTTAGTCTTTCCTGTTGGTCTTTTAAATTATTTCTTACTGATTTTGGCATTATTTCTTTTGTTCCCTGCTAGTGTCCCTGGGCCACTCATTCTCACTTTCTTACTGACATATGCAAAAGAAAGAAAATCCCACTGGGAACAAGAACCCAGTCTACAGCCAGGAGAGTGTGAATGCTGTAGACTACCCTGCTTTGCCAAATCTTTTTGTTTGTACCAGTCATCAGTTGGCAGG